AGTCATTCCTCTTTTCACACTTTTTTAGAAATTGTTTGTATTCTGGTAGGAAATAAGGATATGAAACTGTTAATTTTTGTTTCTTGGTATAGACCACCAGCTAGTGATAATATTTTACTCGACTACTACGAAAAATGTCTTTCTTTTATTGATGCTTATGATTATAATATCATTATTATGGGAGTCTTGAATTATGATATTAGAAAAAAACAGTAACTAATCAAACTAAAAAATTGAATCAGATCCATAGTTTATATTGTTTACATCAAATTAATGTGAATAAATGTACCCGTATAAAACACGATTTAATGGGTCTAATTGATCATACATATGTTAATCATCTGTGTAGAGAAGGTACTTACACAAGGTGTTATATACACAGGATTAAGTGTACATTCTTTAAGTTTCCTTTTATTGAAGGCTAAGCTGGTCCACGAATGCAAAAAAAAAAAAAAAAAAAAACTTGAAGAAACTGTTCAACCAAGCTTCATTTTATTTCCCCTTGTTTTCACGAATAATTTATACGCCCCACACAGTAAACCAACATTTAATCAAGGCACTATATAGGGAGACGGCACGGAAATGTATCCGATTCCATTTTCCCCCTACTCGTTCCTCATTGGCCTATGTTATTTATTTTATCGTCCAATCAAATACATAGGCCCATAGTTCGATCCGAGGAAGGTGCCATTAAAGGGAGGATGAGCCCCCGTATGAGATGGGCCCTGTAATAGACCCTTTACCCCTATTCCCAACACTGTTAAAGAAAAGGAAAGTCTTGTTTAGCCTCATAAAGAAAGTGAGTGAGGGAGAGAGAGAGAGAGAGAGAGAGGGAGCAAAAGAGAGAGGATACTGAAAGCCGTAAAGAGATCAGTGTTGACTTTGCAGCAAACGCTAAAAATTTTCATAGAGATCATTGGCACTCACACAGGCATACACGCACACATTTCCTTTTGACCTGCCAAAGTGGAAAAATGAAAAATGTTACATAACCTAAATTGTTATCATTAAAAGCATCTCTCTGTCACCATTATCACATTAGTCCTATTATTGCATCATTAGGCCAGACATTATGTATTATTGTCGTCGTTACTATAGTCTAACTATTATTACTATTACAGTACTTGTCGTTGTTGTTCGTGTTGTTATTTGTATCTTCATCCTTAAAAAATATTATTATCATCATGGGCACGAACTTCAAACAGAGTCAACATCGAAATCTTAACAAAAGTGAATACAAATGATATGTGTAGCTGATGAAATTGGACACAAATAAAGGATTATCTCATTTCATTTGACAATCACTGTTGCTAAATTGGGTGAATAATGCGAGTTAGAGAATTGTTTTTCAAATGTTTTTGGGTAAGCGACTCTGTATACACACGTTCCTTCTTTCTGATCTCTTTCTCTCTCTCTCTGTCTCTCTCTTTTACTGTTAATACACACATGGCTATTAAAAGCGAATCACACATACATACACGCACAAACACACCTAACACATTGTATCCAGTCCTTCGTTAGGGCAGGGAGGTTTTGTCTGACTAGCCTAGTTAGGAAAGAATCTTTTGTTTTCAAACTGAAATGGGAATCTCCAAACGCTACATCCCACAAGACCGAAAACCCACGAGAACAATAGTCTTCAAGACAGATAACGTTAATCACGTAGGCCTTTTTTAAAAAGTTATCGTATATAATTATGATTCGAGAGACAGCATAATGATTTCTGAATCAATTGTGATTTTGTATTATTGTTATTAAAACTCAATAATAGTATTAACAATGAACCTTGTTTATTGACATTTGTGATATTTCATGTGAGGGATTCAGGGGAAAACATATGGAGAAATAAGCAATTGAACATTGAATCTACATCTATTCAGTGAACTTTATTAATATACATGAATTCAAACTAAAACAGACAAAAAGATCCTTTAAAATGCGTTTGTTCTACCACACACATTAATTATAAACAACGGTAAATGCATTGTTCTGGACAAAAGTACATAAACACAATATCATCTTAAAAATAATTCCTGCGTCAACACTACCTAATACTATACGGTCTGAAGATAACAACACGCGTGGAAAAAAAACAATTAAATATCAAATCTACGTTTTTAAGCAAACTTTATTAATATACATAAATTCCAACACATTTAAATATCATGCTTAACATGATTTTTAAATGGGTTGGAGTTTATAAGTGCAATTATTGTACCAAACACATATTATAAACGACGGTACCTATTTTGTTCTTTACATAAGTACATGAACACAATATCATCTTAAAAATAATTCCTGCGTCAACACTACCTAATACTATACGGTCTGAAGATAACAACACGAGTGGAAAATAAACAATTAAATATCAAATCTACGTTTATAAGTAAACTTTATTAATATACATAAATTCCAACCCATTTAAAAATCATGTTTAACATGATGTTTAAATGGGTTGGATTTATAAACGCAATTAATATACCAAACACATATTATAAATGACGGTACCTATTTTTTTCTTTACATAAGTACATGAACACAATATCATCTTAAATTAATTCCTGCGTCAACAGTACCTTATAGTTACACATTTTGATGTACCAAATAGATTTGTAAGTAAACTCTAGCTTCAGGTTGGCTTGATTAAAGCACACAAAAATAAGAGAAGGTATCAATGAAAGTGTGATGACAATTTGAGAAAAGAGTATACGAAAGTTATGAAATTTTGAATTTGTGATCAATCCAAGTAATATCCAAAAAGACAAAATGACTTGATTTATCTTCAGAGGAAATCCCCCATTTGCAAATAAAACCCCACAACGTATACATGTATCATTTATTGTTTACACTGTAACTAAAGCTATTTGTTAACAAGAGTTATTCCTTTTTAAATAAATATATCTATTGAAATTATTTGGAAACAATGAGACTCTTCTCCTGTTTTCACTGAATAGACGTGTACTCTATTTGTTCTACTTTATCAATATCTACTTAATATGAGGGTGGACCTCCCCTTTAAGAATCAAACTTTATTATATTTGTGAATGTTGCATACACTGTATGTATATCAGTCTATCGCCTACTTTTCTATTTCTCTTTCTCTCTGTCTGTCTTTCTCACCATCAGCTCTATTTCTCAACACCCTTTATCTTTCTACCCACTTTTTATTTTCATAGCCCCTCCCTCTCCCCTCTCTCTCTCCATACCCCCTCTCTCTCTCTCTCTCTCTCTCTTTCTCTCTCTTTTTCTCTCCCGGTCTCTCTCGGTCTCTCCTTCTCCTCTGCTACCTCCCTCTGTATATTTATCCCTCCTTCCTTTATTAATATACATAAATTCCAACCCATTTAAAAATCATGTTTAACTAAAGCTATCTGTTAACAAGAGTTATTCCTTTTTAAATAAATATATCTATTGAAATTATTTGGAAACAATGAGACTCTTCTCCTGTTTTCACTGAATAGACGTGTACTCTATTTGTTCTACTTTATCAATATCTACTTAATATGAGGGTGGACCTCCCCTTTAAGAATCAAACTTTATTATATTTGTGAATGTTACATACACTGTATGTATATCAGTCTATCACCTACTTTTCTATTTCTCTTTCTCTCTGTCTGTCTTTCTCACCATCGGCTCTATTTCTCAACACCCTTTATCTTTCTACCCACTTTTTATTTTCATAGCCCCTCCCTCTCCCCTCTCTCTCTCCATACCCCCCTCTCTCTCTCCATACCCCCCCTCTCTCTCTCTCTCTCTCTTTCTCTCTCTTTTTCTCTCCCGGTCTCTCTCGGTCTCTCCTTCTCCTCTGCTACCTCCCTCTGTATATTTATCCCTCCTTCCTTATCTCTTTGTAATCATCTTTGTAGGCCTACATTATATTAATATTATTTTAAATATTGTAAATAGTGTTCATTCATTATTATAGTTTACTAACTCCTACAGCCTGTGCCTGTTGGTCAGTTCTTATAGGCTAATAAATAGATAAATGAATAAATAAATAAATGCCAATGAATAAATAAATAGATCAATAAATAAATAAATAAATATATACGTAAACAGATGAATAAATAAAAAAAATATACAAATGAATAAATAGATAGATAAATAAATTAATAGATAAATAAATAAATAAACTTCAATAATTAATACCAGTGCGACAGTTTGAAATCTGAACGTTTAAGTCGCGGAGGGGGATTTGCGAAAAAGTCCCTGAATAACAAAAAATTGTCAAGAATTGATTTAATAAGGCCATACATTAATAATCTATTTTCTGAATTTCAAAGAGAAAATCGTATTTCAAGAAAGTTCATTTTCTGCCCCTTAGCATGACACCTCAATCAGGAAATATGAACCCGGAATAACAAAGTTCTGGTAGTTTAAAGTAATACTTGCGTTTCCATAATTTGATTAAACGAATTCATTCTCACTTGCTGCCTGTTGTAGCAACAAACGGAGTTGACGATGCACAAAGAAGACAAAAGATCTGATGCATGACTGAATGCCAATTTAGAATTTCCCTCAAAACAGAAGGGCTTGAAAATGTCTTTTTGTGGGAAAATAATGACTGTTAGTTGTCAAATGGCATTTAGCGAGCACGCTCGTTTAATTAAATAGTCTGATTTTCAGACCCTTGTACCGAGTGATCGAACGTTTTGTGCTGCGCAAAGATTAAATTTTATCAGCTTAATTTTTTCCATTACAAGAAGTGGTTTATTGATGTGGATAAACTCTCATGTACCCTTTACAGCTCATTTCATGTAGCCAGTCAGTCACTCAATAGTGTCTGACAGTAAAGTCTAGAAAGTAAACAGGTTTCCTTGCATAATTTGAATATTAGGACACTGCTAACGTTTAAATTTCACAGATATAGATATACGTGACATATTCATAATTCCTTCAAAGTTCTATAAAATTCGATGTAGGCTGCAAAAGGGATACACTACCTTTATATTTTGAGACGAATGATTTTAGTATTTTTTTACAAAAAACATATCTTTCGACCCATAACCGATTAGGCATGACCATCTGTGCTTAACTCGTGATTGGGGGTTCGGATGGTCTCCATACCAAACAACGGTACGTTTTTCTGTGTTTTACCCAAACAGATTTCTTTTATAGCAGAACGAAATTTGGGATAGTGAGCTGCGTAGATAAAAGGGTTGATGGACGAGTTGATAAAGGTTATCAAGTTAAGAATCTGGCGGACGCTGCTGCTCACATAGGCTTTAGCCGTTCCTCTGAAAGAGACAACCACAAACGCGATCTGACTTGGAGACCAGGATAGAATAAAGATGATGACCACTACCAACATGATTTTGATGACACGATTCCTGGCCAGGATATGATAGGACTGCTTAGAACCGCAAGACATGGCTTGCCGCAATCGAATAGATTGTAGATGCAGTAAGATGGCCATTGCTGTCTGGGAAACCATCATCAGAACAGTAGGAACCATCAGACGTATGGCGAAATTGAACGAATTAATTATTCTTAATAAAGAAGTATCGGAATCGGTGGGTACACAATAGATTCGGGACAAAAGATCACCTTGAAATAAGAATGACAGTAAGTAGTAGGAACATGATACAAATGAAAACAACCATACTACTATGATAAAGATATAAACCCTGCGGTTTGTGAAGATGTCCTTGATGCGTAGAGGATAGACAACTGATGCTAAGCGCTCAAAAGAGGCACCTACCAGGATATAGCTCGAAGAAACGACACAGATCCATATCAGGCAACTAGTATTTACCAGTCGGCAATAACACGCTCCCAAAATGTTATCAGGCACTTGGAGTGCCCTTGGAATAGGAATATTGAATAATGATGTCAACAAGTCTGAAATGGCTAGAGCTCCTACAAAAATGTCTGTAGAATTAGTAGTGGACCTACGAACTCTCATTACAACGACAACCAGGAGGTTTCCTAGAATACCGATCAATGAAATGATTAACTGAAGGATAGTCACCCATGTCCACGAGAATCGCCACACCCATATGGTTGTATCAAGCCGGGCGACCGATTCTGTGGATGGTTGGACAATTGTGACATTGGTAAACTCGCTTACGAATTCATGAATGGTTTGTAACTGATCAGAACCATCAGAACTGGATGCGCCCGTATGCATCACATCACTCGTTTTTGATGGTTGGGAGGAAGCCTCGGTATTCGTTTCGGTGGCGACTGCGGATGATGTAGGTAGGATATTGACTGAACTCCTTTCCAAAGTTTGCGGTGTCTCAGATAGACCCTCTGAATCAGATGGCTGGATCAATGGGGTTTCGGACGTTGTATGTTCGGAAGAATTAGCTACAATGACCAGAACAAGCAAGGTGATGCGAAGCACTATTCGTGCCGCACTTTGTTTGACTAATTTCTTCATGATTTTTCTCTTGTGATATTTCGCTGAATCAATGAACTATATTGGTGCTTTTAGTAAATTTCTTTTCCATCCACAGCGCGATATGTTGATGCTTTTATCAAAAGTGGTGATGAATGGACGTATTTTGTACTACGAAAACATTTGCAACGAGAAGAGCCTGCATGATAAATACGAAATGGTAAATGGAGAACAACAAAAACAGCCATTTTATACACAAATTAAGTTTTGACTACCTAGTATAAATTAGCCTTCATAGATGACAACGGTTAAAATTATGTCGTTTTTCAGAAGGTTCATAAATCGTATTCCAACGGTTTATTAACTATGAAGAGCGAAAAGACTTAACAATATAATCTCACCTAAAATAATGTAATCTATGAGAGAAGATATTGAAAATAAAGTTAAAATCTATACATTGTCAATGAAGTAGAATTAATTTACTGAATCATTATGGAAAATGATTATTCGATGAATGAAATGAGAGCGAAATAAATACGAAAAATGAAAAGCTGAATAAGATTAAGAATGAAGGAATTGTAAACTAGGCAGAGGGCTGGCGGCCAAGGTAAAACGTATTTACAGACCTTACTGGAATTTGTTTTTTGTGGAAGGTAAATAATTTTTATTGACGAATATTTTATCCATTAAATCCATTAATGTCAGACAATCGAAATTTAATGAAATTACGAGAATCGCGCAATGTCTTACAAAAGTTTCTGTATTCTGTCAGTTCTGAATTAAATCTCTATCAAATTTATGTGGTATGGTTTATAATAAACTCACAAGTTGAAATGTTTAGCCTTGTATTTAAAAATAAGAGTGTCTTAACATTAGCATGATAGAAGTATTCATATTGAGATAGATCTTACCTTTGGAAATGTGAATGAATTTCTGGAGAAATCTATAAAGTTGATGTGGAATTGTCAAGCCAGCGTGCATCGCTGCAAGGAAACTGATCGCACTGCATATCGCTCACTTTATATGTAACTTGTAAAACGATCATCCGTGTGTCCGCACCACCCACTCAAAATTAACCTCACCCATCATCACCCACATACACAGACACCCACACCCACCATCACTTTTACGCATACATGCAAATATTATGCATGAAAGGCGTGCGTGACCGTACACACGCACACGCACGCGCACCCGCTCCGATCTCGTATAAATTAGACCCTTTCAACCAGAGGCGGCGGAGCGTCTTTCAAAGTTAGGGAGGGGCACCCTAAAAAAAAGGGGGAAGAGGTCACTACAAAGATACTTTTACCCTGGTTATAGATACTGTTAATGGCCTGATGAGTTTGTGATGTCGCATGACCAGCAATCAGACTCGATCCTTTCCAGAGAATACAATACACACGCACATACGTGTAAACGCCTTTAATATTATTGGGGAGGTAGGCAAAACACCATGAAATTGTGAAGGTAATAAATCTTGGGTTTTGAAATTTCGGAAGAGAAAATTACAAAAAGCCTATTCCAATTTCAAAAGATTTCTCCCCGATCTGCCAATGGAGTTTGTTGATTTAAATCATTGTTCGTTTCTGTGATAGTCCCTTTGTCCCCTTATCATCATTGAAATGTAAATCTTTGGTTTATAAGCGAGACTTTATCAAATTTGGAGAAAGAAAATCACAAAAAGCCCATTCCAAAAGATATATAAAAACATTTACTTCTTTCTTACACATAATTTTGAGCTATGGAAGTGTGGTGTCTATTCAAGTAATTGTCAATCGGGGAGGTAGGCATAAAACATTTCAATGATCGTGGAATTTGTAGATTTCCAGCTTTTCTATGTAAACTTTATATAAACTCATACAAAAAGGATATTATAATGTCTACTTTTATTCAAACAATAAAGGTAAGACTATTTTTCAAATCTGAATTTTCATAATATGATATGAATCATAGAAATTTAGTTTAGGTCACGATAGTGACTGAAATGCCTCATCTAAAAAAGTCGTGATAACTATAATCTTGATTTACTGTGCGGGAAGCCATTACACATTAATGTAATCCTAGGAATCCCAGCATCAGAGCATCCGCTCCACTTATTGAAGTTCATTAAAAATGTATGCTTAGCTATTATCAATATCAAGATAATTCAAAGAGATTGACTACGTTTTGTCAGACTATACTGTGTTGCTCATAGAGTAAGGAAACCAATTACAGTGATATAATGACTCAAAGCTGATGATCTCAATATCATTTTTTAACATTTCGAAAAAGAATGATCTACTTCATGAAGTAAACGTTTTGTCAATGATAAAGTTATAATTGTAGATAGCAGGTGTTCCGTTCTTTCTAGGCCACCACTGACGTACACAAAAATTCCAAAAGATATATAAAAAACATTTACTTCTTTCTTACACATGAGTCGTCTAATTTTGAGCTATGGAAGAGTGGTGTTTATACAAGTAATTGTTAATCGGGGAGGTAAGCATAAAACATTTCAATGATCGTGGAATTTGTAGATTTCCAGCTTTTCTATGTAAACTTTATATAAACTCATACAAAAAAGGATATTATAATGTCCACTTTTATTCAAACAATAAAGGCAAGACTATTTTTCAAATCTGAATTTTCATAATATGATATGAATCTTAAAAATATAGTTTAGGTTACAATAGTGACTGGTGTGCCTCATCTAAAAAAAGTCTTGATAACTATACAGAGTGAGTCAAAAAATATGTCCCACTTTTTAAAAGTTGTATTATTTGAAGTATAAATATTTAATCGTGGGTTTCATGATATGTCTTGATAGATTTATCCTCCCAGTACATTTAGGTACCATTTTCATTTGAATATCTGCATGCATGACTGAACATCAGACATTCTTTACAATACTGCCAGATCTCACTTCCGCCAAGTTGCTGGGTGAGGAATAAAATAGTGTTTCTACCTTTTTTTTAAAGCAATTTTTGTTTTATTTCTCGAAATGTCTAATACAAACCATAACATACAATTGAATAAAATAAACGTGTTCAATATTGATTGCTTTTACACAAACATAAATATACAAAAACTTATTTGCAGTATATATAACTTAGCAACAAAGTAAAAGTACCTAAACATAATATATATGTCAATTGTAAATGTTATCCACTTATATAAAAAAAAAAAAACTTAAACAAATCTGGAGGTAATTTTTACTGGAACAATGCCTGCTCCTCCCTGCCCCCTGCCCCCTCCCTCACACAAACATCCCCACCCACCCACCAACAAACATACTCACCCACCCACCCCCACACACACAGACACACACTACTCACCCAATGGATGTCTGCTAACATTCTCAACTCAAGAAAAAAAATACTAAATAAGTTATACAGGCCGCAAAATAGGGTTACACTTTTAACAGGCTCGCGGTGGAGAAGAAAACAAATCTTAATTAATCTTAAGCTGCTCCCACTTTAAGAAATGTGATCCCAGCTTTCCCATTCTAATTGCTATTTTCTTTTCCTCATCCCTATACTTATTTTTTTTCTCTCCATCTATTCTAAAGTTGGTACTCGCCCCCCCCCCGGTCTTGACATAAATGTAACATAGTTCACCATGAAAATGATAGTATTACACATTTTTATTCTATATGAACTTCCTGCCAACCCAACAAATATATCGCCATTCTAAATCTTTAATTTCATCTAACTCCAAAAGTTGTACTGAAGCCCGCAAGATAGAAATAAATGTTTTTATGTTTCTATTTCCTGCTTACAAAACGAACATAAATTATCACCAACAAAACCAAACTATGAAGATGCTCATTAGTATATATGGCTCCATGCAATAATTTAAATTGAAATTCTCGTTGTTTTCTAATGAGTATAGTAATTTTTGGTCTAACAACTATTTCTTTTAATTCTTTATCTATAAAATCATAATCATTTTGCAAATCCCTTACCCTCAAATCATACGTTTGCTGCAGTGCTTTGATAAAATAATCATAAATATTTCTTGAACCAACATCCCAAAACTGTACTTTTTACCTAAAATATGGAAATAAGTATTAAAGCTTATAAAATCAACCTCAAAATGAATCTCCAAAACCGAACAATTTCAATATTTGAAATAAATATCTATGAGATACAGCATCGAAAGCTTTCTCAAAATCCACTGCACACAAAAACCCTTTCCCTTGTTCCCCATAATGCATAGAATAAAATAACATGTCATCTATCAATCGTACAGCTTCCCCAATATTTCTTTCTTTTATATATCCAACTTGATCATGATGAATTATTTCATTTAAAACCTCTTTCATTCTTTTTGCTAGAACTTTAGATACAATTTTAAAATCTACATTCAAAAGCGTGATGGGTCGATAATTTTTTATATGGAGAGTATCTTTCGCTTCTTTCTCAATTAAGGTAATAACCCCTTGTTTTTGAGATGCCGTTAATTCCCCCTTTCGTTTGTTTCATTCATTACTTCTACTAACAAATCACCCAAAGCTGGCCAAAAAGTACAATAAAATTCAACTGTTAACCCATCATTTCCTGGGGTTTTATTCAATTTCATTTCTTTTAAGACTTTCAAACATTCATCTTTAGTTAACTTACCTTCACAGATTTCCCTATTGTCTTCATTTAACTTTGAAATATCATTAAAAAAGAAAGGGTCGGTTTGATTTATATCAGCCCTTAATGAATATAAATCTTAATAAAGTCTTGAACAAAGACTGCTAGACAGAAACCACGCACAAAACGCCAGAAAATACGCACAAAACGGTCAAATGATTTTATGTTGACAGCCTGTCTGGAATCTCCGCAAAATGCGAAAAATTGAACAGCGTCGATTTTTTTTTCCCCTTCTTTTTTTTGCTTCCATTTAAAATTATTAAAAAACTTGAATTCGGCATAAATATTCATAATTGAATGACACACGCCCTTAAGACTAAAACAACAACAACAACAACACACTTAAAAATAAAAGCAATTTTGTTTCATTTCTTCAAATGTATAATACAAACCAAACACACACACGCACACCCTCAAACA